ATGGTGGTGTCAATCATGACATTGTCTCTCCTTGATCTAGTTTTTCTTCTTACTCGTACGTACAGGAATTACGTCCGAGCACAGTAGAACCTTTTTTGAGGTAGGAACGGGGGACAAGCCCGACTAGACAACGTACCGTACAAAATCAATACATAGTCTGACAGACAGGTGATGAAAAGAGAGAAAAGCAACAACTGAAGGGAACTATCCTCGCGTACCAACGAATTTTTAGAACTAACTTTAAAAATAGAAAAATAATATTTAGCGAACCGATAATAGTTACATGTGATTTTGCAGTCGCTATCATTACAATACCAAGGAAACTCTTTATTTCATTGACATTGTGTACTTTTGAACTAGAATCGGATGTTTGTGTCAAAGAAAACCATCTGATTTAGCCATTATTCTTTTCAATCTTTCACCTTGCCTGAGATAAGCTAGCACAGGATTCCCGCGCGAAAATAAATAAACAGCCGAACAACGAACTTTTTGTCATGGAACTTCCTTGTTCAGAAGCTTGTTCAAGCAGTGTTTACATTCTCACTTGTTAGCTAGCTACTAATCGAGCCACAAGTTTATCTTAATATTGACCTCGTAACGCTGATAAAATTAAAGCAAAATTTTCGTAAGCTGAATTAACCCACAAGTTATTTCTGATATGATTAAAAGATGTCTCAATGTGGCTTGAATCGCGCTGTGTAAACACACATGAAACCTTGCGACCGCTTGAGGTGATAATAAGTGATCGAAAATCAGTGCTTTTTCTATCCGCATGTCGTTTTCTTTTCTTTTAACAAATCTTCAGCTTAAAATTGCTGTTAAAGAAAAAAACTTATAGCATGCCCGCAGAGTGCTAGCTTTGAACCTTAATTCAGTTTCACCTGCCCTGGCCATTCGCCTCACTAATAGCCGGCCATCTGTCAAATGAGAAAAGAGTAGAAGCAGGCCTGCTGTCAACACATCATTGTCATGAAGTGATTTGATTGGTCGAGAAGTAAACCAAATGTTAAGATCAGGCGATTGTCAATCAAATAGTATGTTAATTTCCACTCTGTACAGAAGAAGAAAATTTATGCAGGTTCGAAAGGAAAAAAAGAAAACATCCACTGAACGTAACCTTTCTCTGAAGCTGGGAGGTGGCCGTGACGAGAAGGCGAGAGACTGCGAGTGAGAGAGATCGCGTTTGTGGTATTTAGAGTTAGTTGAAAGGTAAAACATCACAGATTATTTATGTCATCTGTGGTCCGATTGGGAGAGATCGATCGCTTGTATCTCATTTGATCTTTATTTTGTTTAAGGGTTAAAAAAGAACCGTCTTAAAATGGCGGGGCTCGATTGCGGCAGAAATTGTTTGAAGTTCCTGCTCTGTGTCTTCAACTTAGTGTTTTGGGTAAGTAAAGCATCTAATTTTTTGGACCTTTTTTCACTTCTTAACTGACTTGACTTTTTGTCTAAGTAATAACGTTTTGTTTTCATTTCTGAAAATCGAACAAAAAAACCTGGTTTCGGCTTTTGCATCGCTGTATGCGGCACTAACCACTCATTAATGTTTAAGCGTCTTGCCACCCGACGTAAATTTCTACGGCCTCTACTTAATTGAGATCAACGCTGTGACTGTATTTCAACGGCAATATGGATGAAGGGCAAACTTTTCTTGAAAATTTCTATA